TATGTAGACCAAAACAGGTTTTGGAAAACAATTGGTAAAGTTGGTATATCTAAAACAAAAACACACAACATTCCATTTGAGTTTGTTGATGACAAAGGAGTATTAGTTACAGATCAAGACAAAGTTTTAGATTATTGGAAAGATAGTTTTAAAGATCTCTTGAATGGTTCCTCTGCTGATGGATCTAGTGTTTATCGTCAAAGAGACGTTCAGACAGATCATAACAGTTATATCCCACAGCTAGACAATAATATTTCAGTAAATGAAGTAAAAAAAGCCATAGATGAAGCTGATTTCCGTAAAGCTTGTGCTGTTGATAACATACCATATGAAGCTTTTAAAAATGATACTGCAGTTTCATTCTTGCATGTACTGTTTAATGTATGTTTTGAAACTGGTCAAATACGTAAAGACTGGGGAAAAGGCATTATTCATCCCATCCCAAAATCTAATACAACGTTAAATTATAGGGGTATAACTTTAGCACCTACTATGTAGAAGCTATATTGCTCAGTTATTAACGAACGGTTATCATCATGGTTAGAGGATAACTCCAAATTGGTAGATGAGCAAAATGGCTTTCGTAAGAAACGTAGTACTGGGGACCATTTATCAAGTATCACAACGATTATAAAAACTAGATTAAAAAAGAAACACAGCACTTTTACTGCGTTTATAGATTTTAAAAAGGCTTATGACACAGTTGACCGTTCAATATTATGGGAACATTTATTTAAGATGGGATTGAATTGTAAAATGTTAAATGTTATTAAGTCTCTATATTCTTGTGTAAGTTCATGTATAAGACTGAATGGTTACACTTCAAAGTGGTTTGATGTTAATTTGGGATTACGTCAAGGATGCATTTTATCCCCTGGGTTATTTAACTGCTATATAAATGATCTGGCTGTAAACATAAAGTCTCTAGGTCTAGGAATAGAACTTGAAGAGGGTAAATTCTTATCAATTTTATTATATGCTGATGATGTAGTACTTTTGGCAAAAAATGAGCAGGATTTACAAGCCATGTTAGATACTGTATTTATATGGTGTAAAACAAATCATATGACAATCAATGTAAAGAAAAGTAATATTGTACATTTTCGAAGCTTATCGACACCAAGAACATCGTTTCCATTCAAGTGTGGAACTGATAGTTTAAATGTCACTGATAGCTATGTCTATCTTGGGTTGGCTCTTAATGAGTTTCTTGACTTTAACTTTACAGCAAAATTTGTTGCTAAGGCAGCAAGCAGGGCTCTTGGACTTATTATTGCAAAATTTAAGCAACTTGGAGGTATGCCTTTCAATGTATTTAAAAAATTGTTTGATTCCATTGTTTGGCCTGTTATGAGTTATAGTGCTGCTATTTGGTGTACAAGAAAGTACAAATGTATTGAAGCAGTACAGAACCGGGCAATGAGGTTTTTCTTAGGAACAGGCAGATACACTCCAAATGCTGCAGTTAATTGGGATATGGGCTGGGAACCTATCTTTATTAAACAACTTAAATGTGTGGCGAGTACTTGGTGTCGATCTGCAAGTATGAACAGTATGAGAATAAATTGTGAAGTAAATATGTACTGTTTTAAGCAGGCGGGTAGAACTTGTAAGAACTGGTATTTAAGAGTAAAAGAAATTTTTGAGAAATATAACTGTGGTGAATTTTTAGTTCTTAATAATGTTTTAAATAAAAATTGTTTGGTGGAAAAGCTAACCAGTTCATATCTGGATGAGTATTTGGATGAATGGATTGAGTCACTACATACAATAAATAGTAGTTCTGGGCAAGGGGGAAATAAATTGAGGACTTACAGAACCTTTAAGTTTAGTTATGAAACAGAAGCATATGTAACTGCTATCCTGCCGAATAAGCATAGAGCAGCATTTGCAAAGTTCCGATGTGGGGTAGCCCCTATTAGACCCGAAACGGACAGATATGAAAGGTTAGCTTTGAACCAAAGAATTTGTCCAATCTGTAAAACTGGAATTGAAGATGAGAAACATGTTATTTTATATTGTCCAAGGTATGAGGATATTAGGAAAGATTTATTTGCCAAAGCAGAAAATGTAAATGATCAATTTTTAAGGCTGTCTGATGACAATAAATTGTCGTTCATTTTTTCCAATACTGAAATTGTAAAGTGTGCTGCAAAATCCTGTTTCAATATTCTTAAAAGTAGAACTAACTGGTTATATTCCTGAGAACTGTCTCTTATAATGTTATTGTAAATTGCTAAACTTTTTATCCAACAAACTGAGAGTCTTACATTATATTATTGAGAAATTGTACTAATCAGTGTATTTATAAGCCTGGTTTTATGGTTAGTAATATTTTAATACTTTTAATCATTAGACAAGGGTAATTGTAAACTCTCGAGGTCTCTTGAAATGGTAAACATACTCATAGTTAATAATTAGTAACTGATCGTTTTTATTTTATTTTTAGGCAAAGACATTATATGTATAGTCACTTAAATGTGAATAATGTTTTATTTTTACTCGTATAGGTTTTTATCTTTCCATTGATGCGAAATAATTTTATTCACATGATTTTATAGTTTAAGAATCTATTGCTATTAAGTGTAATTTTACGGGTTTAAGGAAGAGAACATTTTAAGGATTTTTACTGTAAAGCAATAATACCAGAAACACTTTAAGTATTTTAGAACAAGATTAGCAATAGTTTCTTATTTTAGCAAATTTAAATTGTAATATGCATATGAATATGGAATGAGAAGAGAGGTAACTCTGTAAGTGACATTGGACATTCCTGCAGAGTTGCCTCCCTTCCATTAGATTAAAATTTCATAGTCTCTTGTAATTCTGATAAGAATGGCCGTACATAAATAACTTTTACTTTGTATAATTATGTCATTGAATTGTTTTATGTTGTTATGTATGGATGAGACTCAAATAAAGAATATATATTTATATCATATTTCAGGAGTCATCTTTATTATTTTGAATGTCGTATGAACGTCATTTTTATGTAAAAACATCACATCATTGTCATTATTTCAAGACAATATGTTACCATTACCGTGTTTTTAACACTGAAAACAAACACAGTCATTGATAATTTCAAAATATCTTTCGCAACCAAGCTATTACTTTAGACATATTTCTTTATTCACGTTAATCAATATCAGTATAATTAAAATCTCTAAACTAAAGGCTAAACAGTATTAGAACAGTATAGAACAGAAGTTTATTCAACACATATGAGTTGAAAACATTGGTCCATCATCATTCATATGTACAAGTACAAATACAAAGTCAATTGGGTTGCTATAAACGTCTGTTCTGTTAAAAAAACACTAAATATTATCGTCAGTACTTTCGTGATGAAGCCATGTTTCCTCAAGATTTATAACTCCTGAAGTTCTCTTAATCTACTCAGAGGACCAATAGGGCTTAAGTGTCCGACGATGTCCAGCTATTATTGCATAATTGCAAACAGCAACTAAGTATACCTATGCACCTTATTCGCAATGAAATATGGCATTTATCAATCGCTGCTGTTGGCGCCTTTTCTTATAAACGGACAGGTGTCAATATTTTCAAATATCTGTCATTCCGTTTTTAACAAAATAGCCAGGAACCTTTGATATTCCAGGAAAATATTATAACACAAAATAAATATTGGAAAGAGGTATTTCAAACTTGGTTTTTTGAAAGAATAGTGTTTAGTGCTAGTTTTTTTTTAAAAAAGTGTACTCGTACGGATTTGTTGTAAAGTAACAATTTACTAGCTTTAGATGTCCCCAATATCTTTCCATGTATTTTTTAGTGTTTGTAGTTGTTTATTTGTTTCACATGGTCTTACAGTTTCTTACGGGTTATCCGGCGACATAGCTATAGATCTAGATTATAAATTATAAAATCTTTGTCTTAGATCACTATTTTTCTACTTTTGTAGTATTTATATCTACAGATATAATGTCAATCTGAAATCATACCAGAAAATACCAAAAGCTATTGATAATTATATTTTGTTAGCCAGTCTTTGAGTTATTATTACAATATTCTTAGTACCATTTTGGTCGATATGAAAATCTTTATATTTTTTTTTATTTTAAGCTTTAAAATATGAAGAACTTTAAGCTTTCTGACCATTAATTTTGAAAGTTACTAAAACTAAAAAAACAATATGCAGACTTTGCTCGTGGTAGTTGCACGAAAATTGTAACTTTCGTTGTAAAGGACTTGAACTTCGTTTGTACTATACATGCCAGTATATAAATTTACTTCTTGAATATATTTTCCGAACACAGGTCCAATTAAAAAAGCAACTTAACATCCGAATAGTTTTATTGTATTAACTTATACTTTTTCAACTTATCACCGTTTAATAAACACAAGTTTTACTCTCATTATTTCATTGTTGTAAAAGTTTTTATCTTAACGTTAACAAAAAATGGATCATAACTATGCCTTTTGTCTTTTTGTTGACAACACTTAGAAAATCAAAAAAGACTTTTTTCTACATATCACATTATTTCAATTTCGTTTTTTCAGATTTAAGTTACAACTGTTATTTTCAACTCTTTTGATGAATAAAATATGTAACTGTACCACTAAGTGTCGTTACTTATATTATGACTTTCTTGTTTTCTTAGTATACTTCTCATGGTGAAAACAGAAAATAGAACGTATTTTAATAGTATATTTAACAACAAATTAACGTATTATAATATTATCGAAAACACACATAACGCTTACTTTTATGAAAGTATCAAACATATGACATAAAATACAAATGTCGAACGAAATGTCACAAATCGTTCTCAGTATTTTTTTCAAACTTATTACTTATATATACTGTGGCAGATAAATGTAAATTGTATTCATTTATTTAACTCACTTTACTCAGCGCGTTTCGTGTGTTTTAAAAGGCATTATAATGTTCTGAAAAAAAGATTATAAAGATATGCAAAATATCAAAACAGCAATGCCATTGAACATTTTCATGTTTTATATCGCATTTGCAAACATACCTTGATTCTATAATCTTTGGGAAAATCAATGTAAACTCCGTCTTTCTTCCATCTAACTTCTTTGGGTCGAGGGTCCACATGGCACGTAAGTAAAGTCATTTCGTTTATGTTCTTGATCTCTGACTGAGGTCCTGTGAATATTCCTAATAGAAATGGAATAACGCTTTTGTTATGAAGTTTATTTTTTCAAACCAACAATTTCCTTTTCGTATAAATAATTGATATAAGTATCACATTGCATATCAAAATGAAAACTGCTGCACTGATGCACCTACAAATAAGTTTTTGAAAAGGTAATGTATAAGAGTGTAAAAGGTTATACACAATGCATCGGTGGAGGAGTCCCATGAAAGAATAGTAGCGTCGAATCAGTTTGGTCTTATTGTATCAAAAAGGATGCAAGCGTAGGAAATAATATCATTTTCAGCGAGCGGTGTTTTATCGACTTATTAACAACAGGTTGGAGTTTTGATGCGTAGGAATTAACCATGAAGGCTGTAACCCTGAATATCTCATTGATTCGAATCATAACGACAAACAAATGTTTAAAAAACGATAAACACCGTTTTAACCGATATAATTTCGGTTCTAACAATAAGGGAGATCACTAACGCTATTTTTCAAGCGGATATGATTAATCGGCTAACCAACTTTATATTGGGCTGCTTTATTGCTCCCCTCTGTCGCTTGGCTGTGAAAAATATTAAACAAAATGTTGAACCTTATTCTTCAAAGATTATTTTCAATTGTTCAACGATTTAAATTTACGTGTCATACTGGAGTGTATAGTGAAAGCAGCTGTGCTCGATAATTATTCTTCATCACCAACAAGAGTCAGTTTAAAATGACGTCATTCTGGCGCCTTTATTCATGACTTGCATAATTAGGATGACATCATTTCGCTGTAAACGACTTGTTGTAGGTGTTTCTACTATACATTATACGAACTGATATTGAAAAACAAACCTTATGCGCTAGAGTATGTGAAATGTTATTTTAGCATCATATGAAAAGAAAACATATGACGAATGGAAAATATCAATAACAATTCGTTATTATTGTTACCTAAAGCCGCATATACATGTACCCAATTGTTTATTGGCAACCGACTTTTTTTTACAATTGGTGACAAAATCAAGCGGCATGTTAGACTACAGGATAAACCTTATTTTGTATGGAAAATACACAATGTATATACTCGTTCATAGAATGTCACTACATGTAATGTTCATGCATGGAAAAAAGGTCTTGGTACTAGCATTATTAACTTTCAATTCTTTTGATTTCAAAAATCTAACTGTAGACTTCTAACTGTTTATGAATGTATATGAGAACAACTTTTAAACCGACTATCCTTTTTGAAGATATTGCCTTAAAACCCATTTGTTGTTTACCATTTCACTATGTATTTAAGCAATTCGTGTACATATTTTCACACTTCCAAACAGAACCACAATGCTTAAAAGCCAATGGGCCTTTCAGGGGTTTCGTAGCGGAACATTTAGCCACACCTTTTCCATTTATTGCTAAGTCAACTGCTCACAAACAGTATCACAAACATAAACATGTGTTCTTTTTTGCAAAACCAGGTCAACCAGTGACTATATATTATCTCAGTGAAGCAATTGGATAACAAGTTAGCTAATTTAAATCAAACTGTAATCACTGGAAAGGTCCATGAAGCAACCATTAAAAGTGTGTGTCATATATTACGATTTGGATCGGAGTATCCGTCCCTAATGGGCGGTAACGAGCCTTGCCGAGCGAGCGGGTATCCGAGGGACGGATATTTCGATCTGAACAGCAAACATATGTCAGATATATTTTTTTAATTATTCTATAATATTCCTTCATATTGCAATTGTTTTACCTCAATAAAATATTTGTTCATGGAAATGAATGTCATTTCATCAATAACTATTTTCTTACAATAGCTCATAAATTTACAAGTTAAATAATAACGGCGAAATGACGTAATCCCAAGCACATAGTTCCCTTCTAAAATTTCCAGATTTGACTTCTTTTTAACGCGGTTTATTCATAAAATGCGCTAAAATGACGATATTGAATGGCACGCGACTCATCTGGCACCCCTATGCCAGATGAAATTTCCGGCTTTGGTAAATCTAACGGTAACACCAGTCTGCTATGTAAGAAATAGAAATTGTATGGTGTACACATATTTGTCTTAAAGATTTTATGAAAATGAACACATATGCATGTAATTTGAGTTTTTAGCTGATTATGAGACAGAACTGAAACATTTATTAGTGCTTATATGACTTAATTTTATTTACCTCTGAAAATGATTTGCACTTTAGCTTGAATTATTAGCTGAAGAAATCAGTTGATTTATAAATGTTAAGCTTACAAACTTACTGACGTCACAATCCTCAGCAATGGTATACGTAAAAGTGTGATTTGCTTTTCCGACCAAAGTTGTAGCGACACATGTATATTGTCCCTCCATTTCGTTAGAGAAGTCATCAATCTTTAATATGAACACAAGTAAATTTAATGCTTTAAGAACGTATATAAAGAATTTTGTATCTGGACCTCCAATGCCTGTCTTCAAGTAACCGAGACGGTCACTTCCTACATCTTTCGAAGAGTTTGTTATCCGTGATCTTATAACATATACAATCAAGCTTTTATTTTAAAAACCAGTTCCATTATAAATAAAATTATGCTTAGAATCGATGCTACGTTTTGCGATTTGAAATAGTAACAAGAGGGCCATGATGTCCCTTAAGTCGCTCACCTGTATAAAGGCCCCCGTAGCGGGGCCAGTTTAAACCCCAGGGCTTTTATTTGAACAAACTTGGTAGACACCCATTAGAAGATGTTTCATGCTAAACATCTAAGGTCTAGCTGGTCAAGGTTTTTCCTTACACATATAGTTAAAAACAATGACACACCTGGGGCAGGGCTAGTTTGAACCCCAAGGGCTTTTATTTGAACAATCTTTGTAGACTTTTACTAGAAAATGTTTCATGCTTAATATCTGAACTCTAGCTGTTCGGATTTTTTGAAGAAGATTTTTAAGTTTTTGCTATACACATATAAGGAAAATCAATGACCCCCGGGGTGGGGCCAATTTTGACCCCAGGGCTTTTATTTGAACAAGCTTTGTAGACACTTACTAGAAGATGTTTCATGCTTAATATCTAAACTCTAGCTATTTGGGTTTTTTCAAAGAAGATTTTTAAGTTTTTGCTATACACATATAAGGAAAATCAATGTCCCCTGGGGCGGGGCCAATTTTGACCAAAGGGCTTTTATTTGAACAAACTTTGTAGACACTCACTAGAAGATGCTTCGTGCTTAATATCTAAACTCTAGCTATTTGAGTTTTTTCAAAAAAAGATTTTTTAAGTTTTTGTTATACACATACAGGGTTTTGTCCGGTTTTCTCAGCGGTCCGGTATTCTCAATGTCCCTTTCAGCTATTCAGGATCCTATAAACCGAGCAATAACCTACAAAGGATGCTGAACGTATATTTGCATTTTTATGATCATGAGTAAGTATATTGCTTTATAAAGAAATGATAAAAATACTTTACAATATGTTTTAATTGTTTTTGTCCAATTATTGCATATAAATACAATAAAATTTTGGATTTAAACGAACAGCAGTTACCTCATAACGATAAAGTTCAATTACACCCGCATATGTTTACATTTGGGTAATGGATAATGATTTAACGAACATAGTTTACTTTGTCTGTTAATAATAATGCCCCAATTGTAAATATTGCTTATACCATATTTGTCAGATAGAGATTTTTAAAGTAGGTCTCGGCAAAGTTTCACTGTCTTTAACTAATTTAAATTTGTCACTTATAGACATCTCTCGTTGAATTCTTTTAGGCCATGGAATAGAACTTCGCACTGATAAATGTTGTTTCCGTTGTGTTGTCATTTTGGGAAATTTTACAAAAAGCAATGCAGTATAATAATATTCTATTTTTCATTCATACTGATTTCAACTTATCAATTTCTCGTGCATTTAAACGGTAACATCTAACTGTAAAAAGAGACATAATTAACAAATCAGATAATACTTGTTCCGTTACTACTCAGTTAGCGTATTTGATAAGTACACAAGGTTATTCACACCTTCGTCGTCCGGTATTGTCAGGGTAATTGTCTATATAATGGACTTTGTAGTCCCCTTTCAACCGTCCGATATTCGGTTTTTACAGATTCCGGTATTGTCAATGTTTAATACAATAGTTTAAAGAAGGGAAAATTTGGGACTGAATTATTCGTCCGGTATTTAGAGAGATCCGATTTTCTCAGCGTCCGGTTTTCTAAAATTTCACTGTATAAGGAAAATCAATGTCCCCCGGGGCAGGCCAATTTTGACCCCAGGGCTCTTTAGTTGAACAAACTTGGTAGACATACATTAGAACATGTTTCCTGCTAAATATCTTAGCTCTAGCTCTTTGGGTTCTTTAAAAGAAGATTTTTTAAGTTTTTACTATATGCATATAGGGAAAATCAATGAACCCCGGGGCGGGGCCAATTTTGACCCCAGGGCTTTTATTTGAACACACTTGGTAGACACTTATTAGAAAATGTTTCATGCTAAATTTCTTAGCTCCAGCTCTTTGGGTTTTTTTAAAAGAAGATTTTTTAAGTTTTTACTATATGCATATAGGGAAAATCAATGACCCCCTGGGGCGGGGCCAATTTTGACCTCAGGGCTTTTATTTGAACAAACTTGGTAGACACCCACTAGAAGATGCTTCATGCCAAATATCTAAGCTCTAGCTCTTTGGGATTTTTAGAAGAAGATATTTAAAGTTTTTTCTTTTGGTTGCCATGGCAACCAGAGTTCTGCATGAAATTAAATTCTTTGAACAGTTTTCAAAGGTGACCAACAAAGTAACATTCCTGTGAAGTTTGGATGAAATTGGCTTAGTGGTTTATGAGGAGATGACATTTAAAGTAAAAGTTTACGGACGACGGACGGACGACGGACGGCCGGACGAAAAGCGATCACAAAAGCTCACCCTGTCACCTTGTGACAGGTGAGCTAAAATATATTTATGACTTTGATAAATCAATGACCATGAAACACCTCTTGTACTATAATTGCTGTGTGGTAGTCGACATTGCTTGTAGATTCTATAAACCGGCTGAATAAAATCGTTCATGCATCGTTTATAATTTTGCCTTTAATTGTGCGTTCGTTAAGATTTAAATCACCTAAAACCATAATTTAAGATATATGTCATAATGCCTGGATAATTACTTGAAATTCCATCATAGGCAATTAAAATAATTTACCGAATGCATTTTTCCATTTAGATCAGTTCTTGTCCGCGTGATCTATGTGCTATGTCTGAAAAGACCGCACGGGAGTAAAAGTAAAAAGAGTCTTGTGGCGCTTGTGAGGGGCTTAAAATGACAAATGAAAATCATACTTTCTTTCCGTTTACCCTATTTATTTTACAGCAAGGCGAAGTGAAAATAGACAGCCTGCGTTAGACAATTTTAAGCACCAATGACAGTTTTCCCAGGACATCCAACAACATTCAAAGTTAGCAGACCAATTATGGTATCTATCTTACTTATTGGGATACATCATCCAATAGAAAAAGGCACAAGTGTAATTTTAATAAAATGATGGTTGCAATTATAAGGTAAAGAGTCGAATATACGTACAAAATGAATACGTTAAGAAATTCTATAGTTTTAAATCAACATTTAGTTAACCTCTGGCATAAATTTATATAACTACACCAAAAGGTATATATTTATACACATAAAACAAGAAACATTCAGATAGTACGGTTGCAATTAATCACACAGTCCATCTAAAGCCAATAACTTATCGATGATATCGTTGTTGTTTTTTGTGTTGTTGTTTTTGTTGTTGTTGTTGTATTTTGATTTGTGACGTCCTTTTATTTACAGAAAAGCATAAATCAGTCAATATATAAAAGAATGTCTATTATCTATTTAAAGCACCAGTTATCTTGACCTCATTAATAAACAAAAAGGAATGAGTAAACCAAAAGTATGTTCCTATCAAATATAAAATACATCGGTCTTTTAACAAAAAGCTATCAATAAATGTATAGCTACATATCAGAAAAATGGTACATTCAGTTTATAGTGTTATAATGCGTGAGAAGCAAATTAATTACATGAATAACTTGCTTCACGATATAAGTCAGTAAACATTTCTTTATTATGAATCGTTTTTGTAAGACTTACCATACTGTTAACAAACTTACATTAAATAAACTTGACAGATCATATAATATTCATAACGCACCTGTAATATTCCACCAGGATGAGTTCCAAATCCTGTCTTTTTACTGTAGGGATCTATTAATGATCCATTTAATGACCTAGAAATGTAAAAGATTTACACATTTACATTCATGTATTGAAAATCTGGCTTTAAAGTTTTACAACTCCAAAAGTCAATTTTGACTGCAAAAGTTATGTTGTTTCTGTTTGCTCTCTGTTTGTTTTGTTTTATTTATTTTTTCACGTTTTTTCATAACGTTTGTGCTTAATTTTCATTTAACCATATCTTCAATTGTAAGTAGCATTCAGTTATGAAAGCTAACAATCTTAAGCTTTAGTAAGTTTATAGTGCGTAAAAGAAAATAGTTCTTAAAGTTTAATTTATAAAATTCATTTTTTGTTATATAACAATTTCATTTAAGTCACGAAGACCCTTTAAACTTCTATCCTCATAGTGCTAGAGTGTATCCTTCTATTAATAAGTGTAATTCTAAGAGGTGCGGATGTTGTAACTTTTTATCGCACAGGTCTACAATAACCTCTAATGTAAATGGGAGAACTTTTAATATTATTTTAAATACAGATATTGACTGAAAGGCAACTCATTTTGTTTATGTTTTAACTTGAAACACCCCTGAGTGTGGCATACAGTATGTTGGTCAGACAGGACGTTCTCTTAAAATTCGATTCCGTGAACATTTTTATAAAATGAGAAATCGCACAAAATTTTTAACTTTTCTATATCAACATTTTCGTAAAGATGGTCATTCATTTAAAAATGTTTCAATTCAACCAGTGGAACAAATAATTTATGATTCTGATGCTTCTGCTAGTTTTAAAGTTAAAGTTAGACACTTAGCAGAATTAAAATGGATCAAGAATTTACAAACGCCTTTCCCATTTGGCCTAAAAGACAATATTTTTCAACAAGGTAACATCTCTAAAGATCCAAACATTGATATATTTTCTATTCTGAATATTCGTAAACGTAAATCCCGATCTCACGGAGTACGTAGAAATGGCAACATCAAACGTAAATCTAAAATTACCCTGTCTGTCACCGACTTAAAAATCATCTTAAAGAATTCTGGTAAACATGCAATGTTATCACGTCTTACTCCCCTTTCATTATCATCTCTGAAAATCAGAAGCAGAGAATATAGTTATTCAAACAGATCCTTTATATGCAGCAGCTTATCTTATTTAAAGTTATACTCGGCACGTCTTAAGACAGGCATTTCCTAAAAGTTACCTTTCTTAATAAAGGTATCGATTTCATCGATTAACCAAGTTTTTTTCGTGATAAATGTGTCACTTATTCAGTTTCTTTATACTTACACAACTCCGAGACATCAATTGTTTGCTATAAATATAAGAAACCTGTTAGACATATCATATTTAATTACAACAATTTGGTTTCTGACTTAGATATTCAGTCTTATCCAACAACTTGAGACTGCAATACTTCTAAATTCTGTAATTCAAATTATGGCCATATAATCACTGGTAATTTTGATATAATTGCAGACAAAAGAATTCGTAACTTATTCTTGATAGGACCTAAATACAGAATTCCTTCTGAAATTGATTTTAATGCTTGTCGTGGTCAGATTGCTGAATCTATAGAGGATTTTTCGGTCAAATGGTGTCGCCGTGAAAATGCGGATAGTAATGCTCTAGTTACATGGAAACGTAACATCTTTAAAATTATTGATTCACGTATTAATTTTTATCGTGGAAATGAACATCTTTTGCCACCTAAAACAAGACTTACTTTAAGACATCTGAAGAAAGATATTCTAGCTTTCCATTCAAAATTTGTTTTGGTGCCAGCGGACAAGGCGGCTAATAATATTATAATTGTATGACGAATCCATTACATTAACGTTTTGCATAAGGAACTTAATAGTACTAATGCATATTCTAAAACCTCTGCCTCCGAAAAAGACATTGTAAACAATCATATTACTAATATTTCAAATCTTAAAGTACAAATTAATGAAAAAGAACTTAAACTTCCTATTATGTATTGGATCCCTAAATTACATAAAAAGCCTTACAAAGCTAGATTCATTGCTAATTCTACATCTTGCACTACAAGTAAACTTTCTATTTTATTGACGTCTTGTTTGACTGCCATTAAAACACATGTAATTAGATATTGTGATAAAGTCTATGAAAACACAGGCAAACATCTCTTTTGGTCAATTAAAAATTCTGGTGAAATCTTGGATAAATTCAAAATTAAGAACTTTCAAGCTTCAACTGTCAGTACATACGATTTTTCTACACTTTATACAACTTTGCCACATAAATTAATCAATGATAAACTAATTTCCCTAATTCAGAAAACTTTTGCAAGGGAAAAAGTTACCTTTCTAGCATGTAATTCTAACAAAGCTTTTTTTACTAACTGTATTGTAAAACATTATACTATGTGGACCTATGACGAAGTTTGTAGAGCACTCTCTTTTCTTTTAGACAACATTTATGTTAGGTTTGGTAATACCCTATTTAAACAGATCATAGGAATTCCTATGGGTACTAATTGTGCACCCCTGGTCGCCGATTTGTTTTTGTACTGCTATGAAAGAGACTTTATGTTGAGTCTCTCTGAAGATAAACAACAAGATGTTATAGTCGCATTTAATAATACTTCCAGATACCTTGATGATATTTTTAATTTAGATAATCCTTATTTTGATCAAATGGTGTCTGACATTTATCCGCATGAACTACAACTTAATAAAACGAACTCTTCAAATTTTAGTACATCATTTTTGGATCTTCATATTACTATCAACAACAATTCTATTCACACGAAAATCTATGATAAAAGAGATGACTTTGACTTTTGTATAGTTAATTATCCACATTTAGATGGAGACGTACCCCATGAAACATCTTACGGGGTTTATGTTTCCCAGTTAATTAGATTCGCTAGAGCTTGTAGCAACGTAAAGGATTTCAACGAGCGGAATATTTTTATTACCAGCAAGCTTCTAAAACAGGGCTACCGCTATCATAAATTACGGAAATATTTTACTAAGTTTTACAATCGTAACTTTGATTTAATTTCCAAATTCAATAGTGATTTAAAAACTCTTCTGCGACAAGGGATTAGCCAGCCTGGTTTTTATGGCGATGTGATTTACAAACTTCGTAAGATTTTGGGTCATGGTAATTTTTCTGCTGTTTTTACTAAAATCATTAAACGTTTTATTAAAAGAGGTTATGACCCTACTATTTTAAGACATACTGCATGTTTAGTGTTCAACCCTTTTACAGTTGGACACTACGCTTTCCTCTTTTGATTGCATCTGACGGACCAAGTGGGAGACTCTATGATGGATAGTTCGTAAAGCCCTATGGGACTGAATTGTCTTAATGTTCGTCTTCTGCCTTGCTTCGTCGGGCCCTTGTAGGTGATTTTCTTGTTGCTCTGTCTTCCTTTAGGACATTGAGTACTTTTGTTATTGTCATTGGGTTTACTTTTATATGTTTCTACATGATCATTTTAGTGTTTTACTTATTTAACCTTTTGTAACCATGACAACTGTTAGAATTTCACTTGGCGGGGATTCATTTTATTTACACTGTCTCGTTTATAGGAACATGGTGGGGCTAAGAGCGAGGTTTGGTGCACCATTAACCGGTTTAAACTCCCCAGCAGTCATTATTATGCTGCTGACCGTTCCAAGGCGGCGCCCCACTGTGTTCCTTAGATGTATGTCTTATGTTGTTTCGTACTGTTTTGGTGACACTTTTGCTTGTGTCCCTTGTTGTTTTCTCGTCTGCGGTAAGTATCTTCCCCATTGCCTCTAGTTTTTATTTCTTTGATTACTCCCCATCCCCTCCCCCCCGGTCTCCTGTTCCCTTCCCCTTTGTGGGCCTATTTTTATTTTCTTTGAATTCCTGATCAGTTACAAATTAATTATCATTTAATGATTAACCTGTCCGTGCTCTGTCTTTGCCCTGTCCTGTTTTTGTTTGGGGTCCCCCTGGGCTCCTTGCCGTTGGTTCTTGTTGCTGGGTCATGTGGGGGTTGCGTTCATTGAACGCCGCCTTTCCTTGTTGATCTTGTTTATCATATTCTAATTGTTCGATCTTTTCATTTGTTGCATCAACCGTCGAAATTGGCATTAACGCTCAGACATGTTTTAGGAATTTTGAATTTTTTGAAAGTAAATCTGCTTTTAAAGTGTTTAATCTTTAAAAGGGCGAATGAATTTAAATTTCATCCATCTCATAATCACCAACAATTGATTGATTGCTTAATTCATATCTCATCATTATGTGTGTAAGAATGATTGAAATTAGACTATCAATGAAAGACATTTGTATTTCTCATTGAACAAGCAACCCACAAGACTTAGCATATTCCTAGAAGTACTTTTGACAGTAGTTAAGTTTTTTTTATTACATTAATTTAAATATTGCTAAGAACTACTCTTTTCTTCTAATATTGAAAGTCTCTTGTATTTAGATTTGCTCAAATCTTAGTATTTCTCTTCTGACCGTCCTTTAAGCATTTTCATGCATTATTTAATTTTTAATTAAAAACTAAAAAATAACTATAATGTTTCTTCTCTTACCAATTATATTCTACCTCCTCTCGATATTGAACTTCAACTTTACATTCTTCTACGTGACCTTGACCTCGCTTTATCGTTCGGTCCACGGGTGCACTGATGAATCTTATATTATGCGGAAATTCACCCTTGCAAAATAAATATTAAGTTGAACGCACTTAAAAAGCATGTAAAAGGTTATCAATAAACGAGATTTGAATAGCATCTAATCGTATAAAGTTTTAAAAAGAATGTTTGTCTTTGTCAAATCTAAATGATTTAAGAAGTGAAATCAATTCCAGTGGTTTTCATTATTATCCAAATTTAAATTAAAAATTTTGTGAAGGGAAATTAAACTATATCCAAAGTTTGGTTGTAAAAATAACCTTCGGGAGAATACATTTGTAATTTGTAATTGGGCTCACTGAGTAAAAACTAGATAAGGAGCAATATTTCAAGAAATAAAAACGTGTATTTGAATTAAGATAGCATCAAATATTATACAACATGGCGATTTGGTTAACTTGCTTTAGCCGGCTGCTGTTCATTGATCAAGCCTGCAACAAAATCAATTTTCCCGTTTTGAAAAAGGCACAAAACTTTGCAAAAATGAGAACATTTTGGCATGTTTAAATTGCGTCTTATTTTGATAGTGAACATATATACCAATTTGAAGTGAATAACTTAAGTCATAGTTGCTGAGAAAATGTACCTAAATAAAAAGGTTAACAATGGCAAAAATGTTAATTGAAGAGGGGGCAAAACTTTGCAAAAATAATTTGAGAAGTATGTGCTCATTTAAATTTAGAATTGCTATCATTTATGACAATAAACATGTATACCAAGTTTGAAGTGAAAAGTTTTTGTAGTTTCTGAAAGAATTGTCATAAATAAAAAGTTAACCAACGCCGATACCATCACGACGAGAGAGTCATGATATAGGCACCGCTTTCCTTAAAAATTCAGCTAAATATGAAACAATTAGGAAAAGAAATACGACATACGGTTAAGGGAATCAGTAATGTTCAACGAACGAAGTATCTTCAATGACAATGGTTAAAATAACAATAGCCATTCCAAAATGTATTTGGGATACATTTTAGAAAGCATCGATGACATCAATAAAACTCTCATTCATCAATTTAAATTTAAATTTTTTCTTACAGCTCTTTGTGAACAGTCGTCTCCTTTGAAACCTTTAAGACAGTAACATTTCTCGTTAGAACGATTCTTGATACATGTTCCGCCATTTTGGCATGTATTTATATCACAATATTTTCCTCGAATACATCTATAATATCAAATATAAAGTCATATTTAAACAAAAATGAATGTAATTGTTTTATTAACAATTTTTATTTGACATTGGCTTATATGTGCATTGAAAAGATTAATTTAAGAAATATCGAAGTTGAAACTTCATAAGCTTAAAAGTATTTGATAATCTTCTTAAGATTCTTGTCCACCAACTTTAAATGAAAGGAAAGCATCTTCAATAAATATTATTCTATTTAAATACACACATATCAAAAAGAAATATCAGTTTCCATTTAATTTGATTCAAAGTTACATACTTTTCAGTGTTGTCCTGAATGCATTCCATGTTGTCTTTGCATATACCGGAACATTCTACAATCAATTATTATTTTGTTTAATTGGTAAACGAAAAAAGAACTTTCCAAAAGCTTCATAAATGACAAGTTAACTGGTCAAATTGTTGAAGTTTTACTCTGATTGATTATTTTAGAGATAGAACTTGTAATTATTTAAAATGACATAAAAAGGTCATATTGAGTTACCTGTATCTGGTACAAATGTAACCTTTGTCTGAAAATTCTTAAGGGCTAATGATGCATCTGTTTTAAGTTCTAAGCGCAGTGAGTTGCCCCTTTTGACGAACGTTTGCCTATGTTTATTTTTTCCGCAAGAGTTTTCCTTAAGAAAAGATGACTCTGGAAAATATATGATATAAATTTCAGAAATATTATTAAGGTTTAAAAAAACAATAACTGTTAAGAGACTGTGTTATTAATTAATTCATAAGTGCCCGTGACAAATTATGTAAATTTGCGCGGAATAATTATTGAAACATAAGTCCCTTTTTCATAAACATAACATTCAATATGTTATACGTGTATATAGTAAAAAACAAAACACTGAAAATTAAATACCTTCTCTGTCTCCTGTCAAAAGCAAAAGATTAAGTGAATCAAAGATACAGTCATCTGAGTTTTCCATGTCGAAATAGTCGAATTCTATCTGTACAACATGACGAGGAAAATTATCATTACATACCGCGACTGCCAACTGTTTGTTGTTTTTGTATTTTGATTCTGTGCATAAGTTGATACCATTCTCTGTATTGTTTCCTTTGAACGAACCATCAATGTCTGAAAAATGAATTGAAAATGATTATCATAAAAATAATGAACAATTTTAGAAAACGCATAATTAAGTTTTGCAATTAAAGACGTCTTTTTTTATTAAAGGGATACTCAGGCAAATAAATGACAAAAGTATCAAAATTATGTTATATACTCAAATCACGCTAAAATGACATTTGTCAAAGTCCCAACATGAATTTTGTATAAATTCTATATATGTTGAGTTTGAAGCATAAGTATATCTAAAGATATATAAATTTAGACACCGACAGAATCACTGAGCATTTTTAAAACTAGTCATGTGACTCAAACAAACCCTGGAAGTTACAATAACAAATATTGTTGATATAGTGTGATTGAAACAAACCTAAGTCATACATTTGACATGTTTTAATCGTTTCCAGGGATCACTGTGAGAACTGTGTAAAATCTTAACGGTCTAACCTGACCACGTGGGAAAGTTTTGTCTCTGCGACTGTCTAGTGCATTCATTTTTAGGACATTTACAGAATAAGGAATGAAAAAGTCAAAACGAAGAAATGTAAATTTTGCCTGTGTCTCCCTTTAAGTTGCAAGTGTATTTAATAAATAAAATAATTGCATAATCTTGATAAATTTCTGTTCATGTTAATTGTGCATTTGCACGCGCACGTATGTGTGCGTGTGTGTGTGTGTGTGAGCGCGCGCGCGCGAGTGTACAAGCACTCATGCATACAAGTGGTAATTGCAGATTTTTTTTATAAAATGTAAGTTCAATTTCTAATTTGTAAAATAAATAAGAATAAAAACATGTATCATATCCCTTTTTATTGGTACCTGTGATATCATTTTCTGAAGTTGATGAAATTCAATTGGAGATGTTTATTGATTACATACTGTAACTGATTAAAAAAAAGTCAGACCGATTTTGATTTGAATTCTGATGAAATAATGATACCTTTTCTTCAACATTATACCAGATTTCTCACAAGAGTATTCGAGCCACCAACATAATTACATATTGCATAAAAAAGAAACCATGGTTCAACGATGAATGTTCGATAGCTGTAAGTAAATAGAAAGCCTCTCTGAAAAAAATCGAGCATTGTCCAACACCCGAAAGCCCAAAAAAATCATGCAATATCCAGAGACGGAGCTAATAGATCAATTCATCATGTAAGCACTCATCACGGAAGTCATATGGTTCAGATATAAATGCAATTATCCCTATAAGGAAAGTATTGGACGCAGTTAGATACATAGCAGTAAATTAAAAAAAAATCACACAGTACAATTTAAATCTAATAGTGGTCAAGATGCAAAAAACGCAAAAGGTAATTTAAAGAAGCATTAATAACTATTCAAATATGTTTCTACAACATAAAGTTTTCAAAATTGCAGGAGAATAAATAAATTTTACTTCAGCAAATTACAAATTTCACAATTGCCTCTTTTCTATCAAAGATTTAGTTGCTTCGATCAATAAAGCAGAGGATACAGCAGCAGGTCTATAAAACATTAACTATTGATTTCTTAAACATCTTCTACATTAATCTCTTGAATTTCTTCCATTTTGTGTCGTACCTACTTCTCAAGATATTTAACATAAATTTGGGTATCTGGTGAATTTCCTAAAAGTTTCCTTATTGTTCGAAAGGATCTGTGGTAATCCCAAAGGGATATCATTGAATCTGAAAATTACCATCCAATTTCACTAAAAAGCTACTTTAAAGAAACGCAAACAGTATTTGTTATCCTCTTCGTGTACTTTATTATAGATCACTCCATGATAGGTCATATCCCAGTTCCTGGACACTTGCGAAAGTTATGCCCCTTTTTAACAAGAGTTACCGCCGGGCGGGGGCAACGCTCGACCTTTAATTATCTTTTTTTTTAATTATCTTTTATTTTTTCTAAAAGCAAACAAGGTAATGTTTGAACAAACCTTAACGTTTCCTTTTTATAAATTTAATTTGTCTGTCTTGTCAAATTAGTTTTGTCAAAGTATGTATCCTTTCCATATATATCCGCATGTGTATTAGAAAGTTAAAAAAACTTATATATATATAATAATTTGACCTTCAAAGTCAATGTCATTTATGAATGAAGGTCAAGATCTTCTAGTTTTTTTATGAGGGATATTCTTGAATATTATTATGTTCAAGTTTGAAGACAATCCATTCAAAAATAACGTAGTTACAGCCAATAATAGCAAGAACAAGCAAAATTTGGACTTTCTACCTTGAAGGTCAAGGTCATTGATGGATGAAGGTCAAGGTTAGTGTAATCATCTGAAAGGTCTTGTCCCAAGGGTTGTTGTGGCTAAGTATGAAGACAATACACCAAGAACTTAAAAAGTTATGATCCAGGTACTAGATGGCGGACAGCAACGGCAACGGGTACGGCAACGGCAACGCCACCAGGACTATAACAATACCTCTACTTTTTAAAAAAAAATAACGTCGAGCTAAATCACTTATAAGTTGCATTGGCAACAATATGTTTTTGTTGGTCCTGAATGTTTTGAGGTGCTAAATTTAGCAGCGGGTGTCCCACAGGGCTCGGCCTTTGGTTCCCTTTCATTTCTTATATGTGAACGATATTGCTGAAAATCTTCTAAGCGTAACAAGACTTTTGTTGACAGAAGTTATGTTTTTTCCCTGAAGCATGGAATCAAACCTTCGTTATTCTCTAGATTTCATAGATAATCACAAACATTTAGGATTAACTCTTTCGTGCGTCTTAAAATGGCACGAACATATTTATAATATTTCAGCACCGGCGTCAAACGTTTTAGGCTCTATGTGTGCTTTAAAATTCCAACTCAAAAGATCTACTTTAAATCTGATATGTGTCCTATACTTGATTATGCATCAACTGTTTGGGATGGGTGTGCTGAATACTGGAGTAATTACAATACGAAGCCGCTAGAATGATAACGGGTGCAACTCGGTCAGTAGGTCAAAGAAGTCGGTTGGGCCTCACTCTCTGATATGCGAAAAATTAAAAAAAACTTGTTATTGTCTATAAAGATAAAAACGGTTTACTACCGGACTATTTATCGTCTTTGTTTCCGCCAACTGTATCTGAAACTACTTCTTATTCTTTGCGAAATAATAACAACTATGTTACTATAGCTAGACTCTCTCAATTATATAATGCATTTTTTACCATCCTCGTTAGAATTGAGCCGCGCCAAGCATAAACAGCCGTTATCGTATAATTAATTATGCTGAGAAATATGACGTCAAAGTTGGCGATGACGTAGAAAGATGGCGGCGCCCGTATTTTTTACATGACAGATTGTAAACACAACAAATATGGACACTTTCGAGGTAATATTTTAGTTTAATCTTGATTTTACATATAGGACACTTTCATAAAGTGTTTAGGAATAAATATCTACATAATACAACTTGTTTTCGTTTAGACAAAGATAGACAGTAGACATTCATTTCGCGGGAATATTCCACATGTGACGTGTCATCAAGCATATGATCGTTAACAGTGGCGCCTTATGTTATCAACATAAACACAATAACTTAAACGAAGTTGGCAACGGCTACAGGCTATAATTCCGTAGGCGTACAAATAATCTGCAAACAAACCGACAAGTATGAGTACGAAAGCCTAATAGTGTCAAATAAAATAAAAAAATAAAAATGCAAAGGCGTTATAACGCGAATAAAGGCGTTGTTACGCGAATCAAAAGGCGTAATTACACAAATAAAAAAGCGTAATAACGCGAAAAAGTCGTAGAAACGCAAATAAAGGCGTAATAACGCAAATAAAGGCGGCGTTATAACGCGAATCAAAAGGCGTACTAACGCGAAAAAAGGCATTATAACGCGAATCAAAAGGCGTAATAACGCGAATTAAGGCGCTTTAACGCGAATCAAAAGGCGTAATATCGCTTTAATTCGCGTTATAACGCGAAACAAAAGGCGTAATAACGCAAACCAAAAGGCGTAGTAACGCGAATAAAGGCATAGACACGCGAACCAAAAGGCGCAATAACGCAAATCAAAAGGCGTAGTAACGCGAATAAAGGCGAAGTTACGCGAAACAAAAGGCGTAATAACGCAAATCAAAAGGCGTAGTAACGCAAATAAAGACGTAGTAACGCGAACCAAAAAGCGTAATAACGCGAATTGAAACGCATTATAATGCCAATTTTATACCATATTTATACTTATCAAATGGCCTAGTAACGTGAGAAAGAAAGAACTATATTGATCTGAATTTATTGCTCAAGATATAAACTTGTATAGAACAATATGATATACATTACTATAACTATCATTCCATTTGCGCAGTAATATTGCAAACCATTTGTAATAAGCTAATGAAGACTCTTTGATATTTGTCAATATAAAGTGACTTTGGAGACTTAAAGGTTCATTGGGTTATATGTCAATACAGTTACTCTGAATTCACATCATTGATTTTACACATGTCACTATAGTAAATGAATTTCTATTTTTACTTTTATCTTATTTTATATGTGCGTCATATGTTCAATTATCTACAGATATGTCCTGTATAATTACTTAATAACCTGTAGTATCTTTTAATTATGTGAATGTCGTTCCTAATTACGCTATAGGTTATTTGCTATAGGTAACAAGATTTGGAAAAACCTAAGTCACATAAGAGTGAAAGTATCTCTAATTTTTGATAAGTATGCTTAGAGGGGTAAAAGTGTTTATGTTAAGATACAATAATAGGAGACATTGTCTTCTTTGTCTTTATCGAAAAGTATCTATAGTTGGGTGATAGTAACCTCTTATCTCACGAAAGCATTTCCGAATTTCGTGTAACGAAAGCCTAATAGTGTCAAATGAAATAAAAAATAAAAATGCAAAGGCGTTATAACGCGAATAAAGGCGTTATTACGCGAATCAAAAGGCGTAATAACGCGATTAAAGGCGTTATAACGCGAATCAAAAGGCGTAATTACGCAAATCAAAAGGCGTAATAACGCGAAAAAAGGCGTAGCAACGCAAATAAAGGCGAAGTAACGCGAA